TGTTGGTGAACACGAATCAATAGATTAATTTTGTGACTAACACGAAATGCCGTGAGACTGTTGTATTGTAAATAGTTCAACATTAAGAATTGAGACCATATTTAATTATGTTGTTTTTGTCTCACATTACTGTATTCAGCGACTTCTAGCAGTCTATTAAAAAATGTTGACAATATTTTTTTTTTACGTATATGCATACATGCCAACAGGGGCGGACTGGGACTACAAGTCAGCCCGGGACTCTCGACTGGCCCACTTCGGTACCGCGGCAAGTAAATACCGCTAGTAAATTGGCGGGGGGGGCGGGATGACTTACCGCAGAGGTAGACATTAACCTCTAAAGCCCTGACCCCATGATCCCACCGGAAGCGTCTGCGCCGCGCTGGAACCTCCTCCTGCGTCATAGGTCATATAACCCACCAGACGCGTTTCAAAACGTTGCGGAAGCGGAGCGTCGTGTGTGCAGCCTCGCAGTTGTTGTTGATTTTGGAATATTTCGTGGACATTTGTACTACTTAGGCTACGTAGTTAAATGGTTTATGTTTGTGTCTGTTTAAATCGTGTTTATTGTTGTTATTTCCTATTTTGTTGTGTTGTAGACTACAGACACAGTTAATAATAATTGTAATAGTCCAGTTATAAACGACATGAATCAAAGATGTGTTGCTGTATTTTAGTGGTAAACAAATGCATTCATCATCATAATTATTCTATATATATAATTTACAGTGCCTGTAAACCGGAGGAGAACGCTGGCCTTTATTCTCCTACTTGAAAGACTACGGAGTGATAGGGTCTGCAAAATTTGTTTACTTTGGGGATTGACTGGATGCTCTGACCGGTCCACTTCCTGCCCGGCGCTATGCAACGCCTCACGTCGCGTCGAAAATAGACCAGCCACCTATTTTTAGCGGAGCCCAGTTCCGAGACGCTTTTGGGACGCTTCTGGGATGCTTCTAGCCGTAACGTGGCGCGTCTGGTGGAATAGCACCCATTGATTAGAGTGGCCGCGATCGCTGTGAATGCCGCGGCGCAGCCGTAACGTGCCGCAGACGGACCCGATGGAATCTAGGGGTTAGGCCTACCTTTGATGATCAAATCACTTAAACACAAAGTCCATCCTCCTGTCCTTTTGGATGAAGCACTTGATGGCGGGGTCATGCAGCTGATCCTTTGCCACTCCAATTTATCATTGTAACTCAATCTNACGCTGTAACAGGATCTAGTGATATCCAAGCAACAGAGCTTCATTTAGCATGAAATAATTATTGCACTGCATATATATATATATTAATATATATACACAGTGCAATAAGCTTCTTAGTGCAATAAGAAGCTACAGGGACGTTAATCTAACGTCGGTTATATTAACGTTATGTAATACAACATTTACGGTACAAGATTTAATCATACAGCCCATGTAGTATAATATTTTACAAATGATGAATTACAGCAAACATGTGCAATATATCCATTATTACAGCTCCGTGGGATGGCAGTGAGACGATATGGGTCCGTTGTTATTGTGCATCCATGGGTAAAGATCAGGTAAAGATAAACGCATGTAGTGCTGAACCTGCTGAACACGTAACATGAACGTGCCGGGCGGCGCAGTCCCGTGGGTTGGATGCGCGTTCATAATGCAGAGGGATATAACTATCAGAATAACGTTATTAGCAAATTTTTACAACTTGAGGAACGAATGTTTTTAATAAGGACTATAGGCCTACAAACGTTCATACTGGGTAGTTTATTTAGTTTAAAAAAAATTATCCAACGAGTTACAGACCACTCTTTCCCAATGTAAGTCAATGGGAAAAAGTNTAATTACTAGCTAGCTGCTAACTGCCGCCTCGTTAATATCAAATCCATCACACGTAACAGCACCACACGTTCATGCCAGCATGGTAATGGATTGTTTTTATGATGGATTTGATATTAACGAGGCGGCAGTTAGCAGCTAGCTAGTAATTATGCTAATGTGCACATCAATCGTTATGTACTTATATTACGCTGTAACAGGATCTAGTGATATCCAAGCAACAGAGCTTCATTTAGCATGNGGATAGGCGAGGTTGAAACAAACAAGCGAGTGCTGGACACTTTAGACGGTCACAAGAAAGTGTTTGAATATCAGTTTTATTTACGTAGGCCTACCTCACTGGTAGGCCTACGTAAATAAAACTGATATTCAAACACTTTCTTGTGACCGTCTAAAGTGTCCAGCACTCGCTTGTTTGTTTCAACCTCGCCTATCCCGACATCCAAGAGCTCGAACACACCAGGAAAAGTAGGCAGAAAAACGTGTCAACCTTTTAATCCAAGACATACAATTGGCGTTTGACACTTAAACTACACTGAAAATAATGATTAGCGTGGCATCATCGACATGGTTCTGTGCTAATCCTTTAGAGAACTAACCAATAACCGAAAAGCTTCAGAACCAATTTCACCACTTCAAGGAAATTGTTCCAGTTGTTGTAAGGGAGGTTTTTTTACGGACACCTGAGGAGCACTCGGCGTCTACGATCACCCACACACTGCAAATCCAATACCAACCTGGAGTCCTCTTTGGGCGGTCGTGGTGCTTCCAAAGAGTCCTAGTTGTGATATCCGTCATATCCAAGCAAACCCTCAATAAAGCCTCCCCCGCAACTGTATCCAAACCTATACACTGTTTACAAAAAAATATCCAGGGGCTGGGAGAGATCTTTTTTGGACAAGCAATAGAGAAAAACAAAACACAATTTTTTTAGAACTTTTTTTTTTTTTAGACATTTTTAGATAAAACTACAATAGAATGGTCAAAAGACTTAACGGGGATCTTTTGCTTTTTTTTAAGACAAAAAAAGTTATGTACATCAACATTTACTGTACAGGTTTCTGTTCAGGAGAAAAGAAAAGGAAAATAAATCAGCATACACTAGAAGTGTGTGTAGCAAGCGTTCGATAAAGGTTCTGGGCTGTTTTAAAACGCAAAAGAAAGAAAATGAAAAGAAGAACAGCTACATTTTCATCTGTTCTGTGTACTTTTTTTAAACACAGAGGGGAGAAGACTAGTAAAAAAAACGGTCGCTTAAGGTCTTCGATAGTGTTGTGTTTGAATGCCCTCCGGCTGTGAGCGTGATAGAGGGCGCTCACAACATCTGGTTTGACCAAAATCACCTATCCTGGCAAATCTGTAACCTCTGAAGAGTGGAGGTGAGCTGTCCGTTCTGCTGCTTCACACATGAGATGTGACCTGAACACACTCCCGGCCCCCGTGTGAAGTCATCTTCTCGCTGTTTTGACTTAACGTTAAAGCCCCGACTCTTTATGTATATGAATCCAGTCTATGGTTGTTGTGTTCAAGCTATGTGGATTCTGGCCTTTTCTGTTTCTTTCAGCCTCTTGGCCTGCTCCTCCAGCGTGGGGGAGTGGGCTCTCTTGGCGGTTGCTCCGTTCAGGGGGTCGGCCCCTCGGCTCACTAATGTTGGGATGGAGCTGCCGACGGGGGTCACCGCCTGTTTGGCTGCCACGTGTTCTACAGAGGGAAAGAGATGGACTGTTAATTTGGAGCCTTCAGTCTTCAGACAAAACATATACGTTTACCATGGTAACATGTCTTTAATAATGAAATTACAGTAAGGGTGTCACCGGCCAATATTTGACATTGTCTGGTCAATGCTTGCCTATCAGAGACAGATTGTCAATTTATTTATTTTTTTCCCTCCTTGATCCCTGTTTAGCTTTATTCGTCTATAGAAAGAATTTAAATAGTGAAAAACGGGATTGGCATCAAAATCCACTTCCTAGCTAGGTTTGATTAACTGTACTGATCCTAATTTTTGAAAAAACGTTTGTCACAGCAACACGTAAACAAGGCATTGTGCATAAATGTAAAAGTTGTGTGATTAATTGGAGATGTATGCCTTTGTGATAATTGAGTCCTATAATCGAATATCTCCAACAGTTTTGTATGCACAATGATGAAACCCCCTCCACACTGTTTTATGTTTCGCCCCACCTTTTTTCCTGATAATGCTACATTGTGAACAATGCTAGCTAATGTCGCTGTTGGGAGACGGTGGGTAGCAAAGTCTTGTTTGACAAAAAATAATTAATAGAATTTCCAATTATGTTCCATTTCGTAAAAAAAGACTGTTGGGTGAAGGACAATTATAATTTTGAACATTTGTATTCAATCAGCACAAAGAACATCTGACTGAAAGTGGTATTAACTTTACAACCACATGCTATATGGACGATTCAAACAATGATTTTGTATGATTCCCTGAAGAAAGTGAACAGAACCGATAATTGACTGTAAGGGCAGTTATACACTCACTTGAGCCAATGACAGGAATGGACATGCCCTTCTCCTCGCCGGCAGGGGGAGCGTCAGTGGTGAGGGTGCCCTCGAACACTGGGGGCTTGGGAGGTGTGATGCTACAATACAATGACACACAAGGAAAGAATATAAGTGTTAAAACCATAGAAAGTCAGACTTGATTGCTGTGATTATGTTGGAAAAGAATGTGAACCCTCACTTGTGGCGGTTGAGAGCCAGTTTGATGGAATTCTTCACGACGCGACAACTGTTGCTCGCTGGGAGAGGCGACGAGGCGTCTGGCAGCTCCATGCTGGGAAGTCTCTGAGGGAGGAAATAACGTTATTAGAATTTAAAAGGAACATTTATTTTAAAAGTATTTAATATATGCTTTAACAGAACACATGTCAAGATAGAGAAATAATTATCTAACGTTAAGCAAATATAAAAAGAGCCGCTACCTGTGTTCTTGAGGTATCAATGGTTGGAATGGGCTTAGCCTTTGATCCAGTTTGCTAAAGGTGAAGAGAGACAACATTTGAAAGTGTTCATTTTCTTAGCCATTACACATGCAATAGAAGCAGGCACAGTAAATGACACCTACAGCATTGGGTCCTTCTCCGTGTGAGTCAGAGGACGGTGGAAATGGCTCTTTAAATGCAGAGTCATCATTGGGCACCACCTTCAAAAGAAAATGTCACAATTTTAATCTGGCAAAAAGTTTAAATCCAGCAACAAATATATTCCACACACACACGCGCTCCTTACCTCTGCTTCTTTGGGCCTCTTGGCCAGGTCCTCTTGTGTCGGGGAGTGGGGTCTCTTGGTAGCAGCAGCGGCTCCGTTGGGGGAGTCCTCCAGGCCGTTGTTGGGCTCCTCTCGGGGGCTGCTGGTGGCGTCGGGCAGCACGTCCTCCATCAGCGCCGCAGAGGCGGAGCTGCTGGGAGGGGGAGAGGCAGGCTTTGCTTTAACCGCAGGCTCTGCAGAAAAGAAGAAGACGGAGAAATTAGATCAGGATGATATGTTCGCGTTTTTGACATCCATTTAGGATGCTTTGAACATACCTGTGCTTATTTAAGATTGTTCACACATTTGAAAGACAGTGTTTCCCATACATTGATTTATTTGTGGCAGGCCGCCACAATTAAATATCGTCCGCCACAAATGGATCTCATAAAAAAACTTAAAAAAAACTATTATTATTATCTTTTTTTTTTTTTTTGGTGATCTAATGGATCGTGAGGTGGGCTGATGATCGGAAGGTTGCGAGTTCAAATCCTGCCTGGAACACCACTACTAGTGTGCCCTTGAGCAAGGCACTTAGCCCTTGGTTACTCCAAGGAGAATGTCCCTGTAATTGGTCATTGTAAATTGCTTTGGAATAAGGCGTCTGCTAAATGCCTAAATTGTAAATTATATTTTTGGGAGAATAAACCCCACAGATCCTCAACTCCGGTGTGTTTCACTCATTAACAATAAAACACAGAGCAACAAGAACGTTGTTCAGTATATTTTATACTGGCTGGGTAATGGGAATGTCAATTATGCCTTAGGACTCTCACTAATTAAGGGATGGGGAATATCATTAATAAATTATTAAATAAATAATAAAAAGATCACAAAAAAGCCCAAACGCCTACTCAGTCATTTCGAGATTTTTTTAAACTGCGTGAATAATTATTACATTTGAATAAAAAATAAATACATTTCCAAAGACAAATTACTTCAAACATCAAAAGGAGTTAAAATAAACAGAATATTTAGAGAATAGTGAAATAAGTACATTATATATTATTGTTTAAAAGCAGTATAGCCCAGCCCTGGTTATAGTGAGTATCTGTGCAATGTCAATGGGGAAGAAGTACTCACTTGAGCCAATGACAGGAATGGACATCCCTTGGTCTGTAGCAACAGTTGCCGCAACAGTTGCCGCTGCGGTTGGCGTTGCGCTTGCAGTTGCGCTTGCAGTTGCGCTTGCAGTTGCGCTTGCAGTTGCCGTTGGAGCTGCTGCTGCGGTTGCCACTGGCGCTGCAGGTGTTACTGGTGATGCTGTCGCTGAGGTCGCTGCACTGGGAGCTGGAGAGCCCTCCACGAAAAGCTGCTTTGGGGGGCTTACGCTGCAAAATCAACAAGACAGAAAACATTTGATCAGCATCATATTGTGTCTTTCAGCCTGTAAAAAGCATTGATTGCAATTGAAAAGACTGAATGGCATGAGATAAAACATAACAATAAACTGCGCTAGAAGTGAAGAGCTGCGTCATACCCGTCATCTGTGTCAGACGCAGGCTTGGCGGGCTTGCTGCTGGGGGAGGTGAAGGGGGTCCCCGAGTCCGTGTCTCTGGAGCTGTCCAGGTGGCTGCTGTCCAGAGAGAGGCGCTTAGAGCTGCCCCCGTTAGAGCTGCGGTTCAACTCCGCTATGCTCTGCAGAGGAAAATAATAATACAGTCAATGATGATGATAGTTAAAATTATGATTATGGGTTTGTCTCAACATGCACAGGAAGATAAATCACCCTCTTCTTCTTCTGCACCAGTTCTGGGGGAAGGTACTGATGGAGCTGTTTCTTCTTCACGTGTGTCGCTTCGATCTTCATCCCATCCTTCAGCATGTTGATGTTGTTGGCCTGTCTGTACACTGCAGAGAACAACATGTTGTGGTATGGGTTATTATTTACGGGCATGAAACTATACATACGTTTGACTTTTAATTCAAGCCATTTCTGGCAATTTCTTGGTGTTGTGATACTACAGGACCTACCGGTGTCTGTGAAGGACTGGATGTCGTACGTCAGGTCAATGTTCACACTCTCCGCATTCTCCACTTTCTTGAAGATGATCCCGATGAACCACATGGACACAAAGTCGTTCCTGTTACAGAAACACACAAGCAGTTAGTCAAAACCTATTTTGTTGCATCAGTGCTCCCGTCCATGTATATGCAAGCATTATAAAATGATATTGATGTACATCCAAAGATACATTTTTACAGATAAAAAGAAACAGCTCATGTAAAATAATGTATTTTTACTAGGGCTGTCAGTCGATTAAAATAGTTAATCGCGATTAATTGCACATTTTTTATCTGTTCTTTAGAGGGATATTTTTCAAGTTTTTAATACTCTTATCAACATATGAGTGGACAAATATGCTTTATGCAAATGTTTGTTTATTATCATTTGATCAATCAGGGTATATGCAGGAATCCTGAAGTCAAATTTAATACCTTTTTTAAGACCCTTTCCATACGTTTTAAGACCTCATCGCCACTTCGAGTTCTAACCGGTTACATTGGCAACACACTTTACCTCATATTTACTATATTGATTGTAAGATAGCACAACTAAACAGAGTGCAGACAGACTACTGAAGCCTCCTTTCCACATGAACTTCAACCTCTCTGTGAAGGTCAGGTTTAATGCAGTATGCTGCTTTTTTGCTTCTGTAGACTCTGTGCTCTTTCATTCCAGTAAAACTCCTCAGAAACCATTAGAAACAAGTATTTGACCAATAAACAAAACAATTGACAAAACTTTGAACTATGAAATATATTANATTCCGATTAAATCCTCCGTAAAGTTTTGTCACGTGCGTTTGCTGATGCATCTCCTGTAAGGGAGGATTAAGACGGGTGCGAGGGTTTTCCCTCCCTGACCTTTCCTGTCGAATTCGATTTACGTGTCGTCAGAGTAGAGTGGTCCTTCTTTCCGCTCCCTCGTGTCAGCGCGGATGGAACGTCTGGTATCTAGCTTCACATGTGCATATAGACCCTGACAGAGACTTTCAACCGTGTATTAAGTTATTAGTAAGCGAACAGTTGGTTAGATATTCAGGAAGTTTTCATAGAGCCGCTAAGCCTCACTTTTATATATAAACCCGAAAAAAACGAAGACGTATTAACAGTCACATTCAGAATCTACATCACATCGCGCTGACTATGAGGTGAGGAGCACACTGATGCCTGTTCGTAGTTCGTCCTTGAATCCCGACGTGAGCATCTGGGCTGGACCGAAGCGCTGGTCGGTCGCGCGGGGTCGATTGTTACCCCACTGTGCGGCCGGTTAGTGTTTCGCACAACTGCTCATATCTGTTTCATAGTGCACGTATCATCGTAAAGTTAGAGACCCGTGAATCCACATACATACATAATCTAATATGGTACTAGTTAATTACAGTACTTTCATGTTCTTCTAAATAATCAAAACAATACATAAAATCCATAAGTGTTAGAGTAAGTCGTAGTAACCTATGTTGTCTGACCCATCCAAGAGGGGCTATATTCTTACCTTTAGATCAGCCCCGTGGAATTGGACACCCGATCTTGAGGATATATCCAGGCATCAGAATAATAGTTAAGTCCAATTCTTTATCCAACGAACGTAGTGATAAAATTTTCCGTAAAGAGAAAATATGAGAACTAATTCTTCAGGTTGAGTTCTCGTTTTTCCAACCAACTTCAGAGCATCGTGTGTAATATGAAGAAGAGAGTTTGAAGGGGCTGCCGTAAACATATATCGTTGTTCCGTCGAGCGCGATCTAGAGGACAATGACTGTGAATACCGTCTTGTCATGTTCTACGTGCCGTAGGCGCGAGTACACATCGAAGTTCGCGAGACTACAAGGGCTATAGCAAATAATCATTCAGGATAAATATGAAACATCGTTGTGATAAACAACTGTTACATAACGAATATTCGTGACGCGCGAACTGTATCTTGTACGTATTGATCCCCACGTTCTGTCATTAGAACAACAAAACACATAAACGGATATCAACCGTGTGACTATACACCGATCAGAGTACTGACAGGAGACTGTCAAGGCGTACAAGTCGTCTATGTCGTCTCCCGAGTAAGCGCGGGCATATACGAGCCACCAGTTGTATTTATAACAGCAGTGGACCAGACGCGGAGTAGAGACTTTGTCTGGTGACATTTATGGCTCCGACACACATCGAACAAGCATACTCAGTCATCTCTTAGAAATCTATCTCTCTACTTGACTCAGCTTCCGCCCCGTAGGACGATGGAGACAAGAAACCAGGACGATATATATTTACCACCGGAGTAATTGTAACAGAGAAACCAGGATTCTACAAGCGATAACGTGATCAACTATCTCAACACATATAAAGTCTACAAGATTGCACTCAGACCAGACTGAGCATCCCAATCGCACAAACCCGACTCGGTTGGAATGTTACAAACCATTGTTGATTCGACGTGACACGATACAAAACGAGTCGACTTATATTTCAGACGTTATATCAAAGAAGGTTTATCACACTTAAACATCAGAATAATGTAAATAATACTTCTACAAGCAACATCCCGAACAAGACAAGCGAGCGACATCCAAGCACTTGTGGTGTACGTGACGGTTATCTAGTAGAAGGGTAGCAGCTCTGGAGAAATCTTACATCACCAAGAAACATAGACCTTCCCATGCTATAGAATACGTAGGGTCGTTATTTAGTTAAGTGATAAAATCTAGTATATAATCCGAACAATAGCTATACCAAGACAAGCATCTTCTGTCACTGCAGTTGGAGCAGTTTATAGTAGACATACTTAATTCTTAGCAACAAAAATAACACGTGTCGGGATGCATTTTTTATATAGTACAAGAGAACCTATATATACTTCACTTTATGTTCTATCTTTACTTCCTCCATATAAGTTTGAACGTAGATTCACACTCGTCTGCTTAATATCGATATACAAGCCACTTACTACGATAACAATCACGGTCACTCTGAGCGTCATTGTCTGGGTAACCGAACATACTAACTGAAGTGTACAACCCTGAGTAAATTCTATCCAGATACGCGCAACCATGAACAAATATATTGTTATAATAATTTTGTATTTTTACTATTATTCTTTTATATTTACTTTGTTGTTTTTTTTATGTTAGCATATCTTTAGTGTTAACAAAAAAAGGTGATTCAAAAAGCCGAATATATCCAATAAGATCATTAAGAGAATATCTTGTCGTGTTAGAGACGAGAGTAGCCGCAAACTTTTCACTGGGATTTTATATGACGATAATATCTCTGTCTTCCAATTGTTCCTCCACATCGGTTTATATCACTGTTATGACGATATACTGTGAAAAAACATATAATGGTCCATAACTAAGTCTAAAATAACAGTACAGCGTAATATTACACTAATGTTTATTATAAACCGACAACATGGTCGAACATCAATAGTGTTGTACTCTCGCCGAAGTCGAGGTTTACGCCTATGGGAGGATCAATTAAAGCGCTAAACGACCTTCGGTCTTTCACGAAATCTAGCCAACTTGGTGTTGGCGAGTATAATGGGTACCTACATATTAATTCCTTGCTATGAATGGGGAGGACAGGGCCCGGCCACTGTGCTACCTTTAATTTTCTCGAGGTCTAGGGAGTGATATATATCTCCCAAGGCCTCTGTACAAAAATTCATATTTATTTATTTTCGTATTTATTTTCATCCTTATTTTTGTAGTTCTTATTTATTGTACTTTATTTCAAAGTCTACTTCAAAATCACACACAACGACCCGAGTCTGACCTTTCGTCACCTGAGTGCATCCCAGGGAACAAGTTGCCTGAGTAGTTATTATAAAAAACAACAAATATTTTTTTTTCGATGCGTCGAATTTACTTCTATTACATCAATCGTATTTACATAAGAAACTTATACAATGGAAAGAGTCCGAATGTTGTTACCAATTCAAATAGTTATAATATTCCTTATGGTTTAGGGAGAAACGTTACAAATGGTCGGAGGAATCCGAAAGTTAGTCGTTAGTTGACCTTATTTTGTGTTATAACAATTGTAACTTTTATACTATTACAAGCAACAGAACATCTCAACTAAAGATACGCGCCACAGAGGTAACCCTTGAGCCTTACCTCCATTCTCGGTGGGCGACATCAAGAACTGTCTACAGGCTTAACGGGACAAAAAAATGTAGTGAAACCTGTTGTCGCCCAAAACACAAGGTTGTACACGCAGTTCGACACCTCGTGGAGATACACACTGTGGAGAGAAGACACTCTGAGACTGTGGTCAAGACCAGTCACGCTCGCATTGCAGATGAAACAGATGGACTTTGAATTGGAATAGATTAAAAAATAATCATCCTCCCACTCGGAGTGAAAATTATATATTTTGGGCTTTTTCTGCCATAATTGCGGTCTTGTGTGTGTGCGGACCGGTGCGGACTGTCACTCCTGTTGACACGGGCAACGTCAGCGAAATAGTGCACATGCCCACTGTCCACCAGCCACGCCCCGACATGGGGTGACGCCGGCCAATCACAAAGCTTTGATGCGTTCAAGTGCATTATTCTGGCACAGGAAGATTATGTTACAGGACATTAACGATAACACAGAATATTGTTGTTCTATTTTTAGACACATCTCGCGATCGACTGGGAATCTCCCCGCGATCGACTGGTTGGGCACCCCTGGGCTAGACCATAGGTCCGTTGTGGTGGCAAAGTAGTCAGCTGAAGCCACATCTCTCTCAACTTCCCCACGGCATTTGTCATATAGCGTAGGCAGCGCAGACCTGCTGAAATAATACTGAGACGGCATCACGTAACGCTTGTCCAACGTGTTGACAAGTTGCTTAAAGCCCTGGTTGCTAACAGTGCTAACTGGGCACATATCTTTAGTGATGTGAAATGTAATGGCACCTGTAATATCTCTGTGTCTCTGCGAGCTCGTCGCGTAGGCCGTTGCTCTGTACAATGCGTCCTGAATCGATGACTGTGATGATGTAGTGGATGAAGTCTAGCGGGCATCTGCTTTTTGGTCGAGGCGAAAGCGCACCCAGCAAAATAATCGTATTTAGTCAATTATGCTGTTTTCATAATCGTCG